TGGTGGGTACTCTTAAAGGATATAGGATTTATATCTCGGGTGATATAAATGTTCTAAAATTATGATGCTGGCTGCACAACTGTGAATACACCAAACACCACTGAGTTACATATTTTAAATGGGCTACTTCTATGGTAAGTGAATTCTATCTCAAAAAAACTGTTACCAAAAAAACCCTCCCAATTTTTTAAGTAGTCCCTGACCCACCCACCATCCCATTTCATGTTACTCCCTCAGAATGTCTCCAAACAGCTTATACTGTAGTGACTTGTGCTTGTTCATTTATTGTTTTGAAATAACTAAATTATATGTTTTATCTCCTTTCCTCATAACCTACAAGCTTTGCAAGGGTTTCTTCTACTTCTTTCGTACTTTAGAACCAAGTATAATAATGGGGTAAGAATGGGCCCTCAAATAAGGGCTGTAATTTTCAAAATGCAAAATATTAAAAATATATACCATGAAGTAGTTAACAAGACTACTCAAAAGACTTCCTTTAGGGGTGCCTGGGTGGCTCAGTCCTTAAGTGTCTGCCTTCAGCTCAGGTCATGGTCCCAGGGTCCTGGGATCAAGCCCTGCATCGCATGGCGCTGCTTGGCAGGAGGCCTGCTTCTCCCTCTCCCACTCCCTCTGCTTGTGTTCCCTCTCTCACTGTCTCTCTGTCAAATAAATAAATAAAAATCTTAAAAAAAAAAAAAAAGACTTCCTTTGGAGGAATACAGATATATATAAAATTCCTCAGATCCTTAACCCAACTGTTCAGAATAAAAATACGTGGAGAACATAGAGCTAAGGTTTCACATTACAATAATCCTATGTAATGGAAGAATAAGTTATGATTTAATTAAAATTAAGTTGCCGAGAGATAAAATTCATTTAATATACTAGAGGCTCACTGTTAGTGCAGTTAAAGAAAGTTGTAGTATTTTCATCATGAAACATGAGCACAAGTTAATAATTAAACCTTTGTTGTTTATTTGACGATTTTATTGTTGAGTGAAGTCTCACATATATTAAAATGACTTTAGAATTACAAAAACAACAACAGCAAACAAGAAAACATAGTAAGGTCCACCTAAATATTTCCTTAAAGTATAAAGTAATAATAACATTTTATCCTAAAGAGAGAGTGAAAATTCAAAACTGTGTTTCCCATGGAACTGTAACACAGAAACTGAAATTCAAAGTCAATTGATTTCAAAGTACAAAGAGAAAAACTCAAACAGCCGAAACCCAGTAGACCACAATGACGGTTGATAACTAGATAGTAAAGGAGAGACCTACTAAAGGTTATAAAATCCAATTGTTATGTTCTCTGTAAAATGTGTATCTTTAAATAGCTAGATTTCACTTGTTCAAACTCCTCATAGGAGAGAGCTCTTCCTCCTCTTGTGGCTTTAACTCCTTCAAGTATTATAACTCACCTTTTTGACATAATTTCATAAATATACGCTACCATCTAAAACAACATCATGAAATGCCCCAAGCTGTCCACCATCTGGGGACTACATTCCCATCCCCCTTGCATTCAAATAAGGCTCTGTGACAAATTCTCACCAGTCCAATGTGGGCAGATGTTTGTCACTTTAAGTCTGGGAGTTCCTAAGAAATGGCCTGTAAGTAACACACAAGGCTCCAAAGCCCTAAAGAATGCTAGAGCCATAGATGTTAAGGAGTGTGGGTCCCTCAAATACCACATGGAGTAAAGCCACAAGCCTGCTAACCAGGAGCACCTGCACAGAACTGTTACATGTGAGCAAAATACAAACTTACATGTGTTAAGCCACTGAAATTCTGGTGTATTTATTACCCTAATTAGCATTATCCAAAGTAATACATGCACAAAGTCTTAAGTATTTTAATTCCCCCCAAAGACATTTGTAAGTGATATTTTGGAAAGATTGTTTAAAAGCCCTTTAAGTAACATTAAATTTTAAAATCTAAACAATTTTCCACCTTAATTTTGTTGTAACATAATTACTTTAAACAATGATAGCAATGAGCAGTTCCACTGTTCATAAATTTTACTGTCCACGTCTTAATATTTTATTTTAGTTCAGTGTATTTTCATAATTACAAAGAAATGTTTCCCAAATTAAAAAATTATGAAGTGTTTTAAAACATTGTAATTCATAATGTCTAATTTGTAATATCTAATATATACTTAAAGGCAAAACTCATTCCTATTTTACTGTTCTTAAAGTATTAAAAATTATCCATAATTTCTGTGTATTTCTTTATTTTATTATCATCTATAATTAAGGTAAGAATTCTTCCTTTAAATATAACCATATGGCAGATAACTCTGTAAATGCACACATACCCATAAGACACATACTTTAACAAAACCATGACATTTTGCATTCTAATAAAGTTCTCCCTACTGGGCTTCACAAAAGTGTTAAAATTTTAGTGCTTTACAGGTTTTTTTTTAAAGTTTAACATTGTTGATAAAAATAAGGCCTAACCGGGAACCTGGCATTAGTAAACAGATAGTACAAACTTAACCCAATGAAACTCCTCCCACATTCTCTTCACCCTGCCTTCACGAAAAAAGAAAAAAATCCTTCTTTAACCTCTCCATTGCCTTTAAATTCCGTATCATTTTTTTCCCCACCACAATACAATTAAAATTGAACAGCACATTTACTACTCCACACAGAATAAAAATGGAAAACTATTGAAAGCTGAGGATTTTTCCTTAAACCATTCAGGAAAATATTCCAAGAGGTTTTTGTTTACCAAATTAGTCAACATGAACTAAAAGAGTTACACAGCAATTTTTTGGGCACTACTCTTTGTGAATCTATAAAGGTAAACTATAGTTTCTTGATCCATTTTAATGCTTGATTGTATTGGAACATATATGTGCTACATAACAGTGTGAACAATTTTTTCCAGGGCTACATAGAATTCATAAAGAGCAGGGAAACTGAGAGATGCCTATTCAAAAATATGGGGGTAAAAATGTATGACTAGATAGTCTATAAACTAATATACTAGGCCACTTTAATGACAGTCTCATTTCTAGGAAAGACACAAAATACAACTTAAAATTGTTTATATATACCTTATGTATTATCAAAGGACTCTGAAATGTTCTATTGTCTTGATTTTTAACCTACAGTTACATAATATTGCTCTCAATTATCAAATGGGTATTTGTACTTCTATACATGTTTTTCAGTGCCCACAATCAGGGCTGCAGGAGGAGGAATATTTAACTAAGCAACTACTATGTGCCAAACATTCTACCTCCAGGACAATCTTACTATAAATGTATTATCTGCTTGTTACAAATGACAAAATTGAGGTTTATAGACATTAGGTAACTTGCTAAGGTCAAACAGCTAAGAAAAATGGCACAGCCAGAGTTCTGAGGTCTGTAAAACAAGTCCTTTTTTCCACTAAACTACATACGTTGTTTTTCCAGCAGTGGTCATAGAAAACAGCTCTCCACTCCTATTCTTCCCTCCACTCTTGTTCCCAGTGAACAGCCTGGAACATTTCTTTGTGAGACCAGTTTAGAAACAGAGCTATCTGGCCTTTATACAGAGCATGGTCTGCAAAGATCCAATCTGTATCATGACTTTATCCATAGGGTTTTAGCTAGATGAGCTTACTAAATGCAAACGGAAAGAGGGTGGAGTACAGTAGATGAGCAAATAATTATCCAAATACCATTTATATTTGGGTCTACAATGCACTGTACACCTATTGGCAGCTTTATCTTTATAGTTCCGTTTTGCTTAGACTACCCTGAAAATAGCTTCCCAGGAGCACACACTGGGTAGACAATAAAGGCTACTTGATCTAGGTTCTGGAGATTCTGAGTGAAAACTTGTTTGTACGTGACTATCCCGATTGACAATTAAGATAAGTAGAGGCAATACGGTAGTAAAATGTAGTACTGTGCTTCCAACGTGTACAAACGCCTCAGCCAAACTCCCTGAACACAATCCATCTAAACAGCTAAATAGGCCGAGTTAAGGACGATGACAGCTACAGTAACTTCCTCTTCCTCACCGACCTCCTCAGCTCGGCGCGTACACGCCTTTCCCCCTAGGAGGCAGGATAAAACAATTTCAAACGCACAAAATCGATCCAATCCCACCAACACCACAGGACAGGGAAGCCAGGCTCCATTTCTTCCCCCGCCTCTCAAGAAAAATGTTATCTTAAAAACTGCATACATATTATCCAAGAGAAAATATTTGCAACGAAAACTGAAAACGTGTACTTAGTCTCTCCACCCAGCCTTCAGAGAAAGATGAAGGGAAGGGATCTCAACACCGCGTATTCCCGAGATTTTACTGCTTTGATTCACTTTCCCTCGGGTCCCAGCGCCGGCTAGGGGAAGAGCTTGCAGTTCGAACGCCAAAAGCTGCCTTCGCCTCTCCTCAGCAGACGCGGAGGCGGCCGAGGCGACTGCAATCGGCGCGTTCCGCCTCCGACCCTCACCTGCCCAGGCCTGAGGCAGCGCCCTGGGCCCCCGCGGGCCCGGCGTCCCGGGAGGCGTCCCGGGAGGCTGGCGGGAGGCTGGCGCGCTGGCGGGCGGGCGCCGAGGCTGTTAGGCCGCGCTGCAGGCCGGCGCGCTTCCTGCCGGGCCCCGGGAACAGCGGCGCGGCCCCGACCCGCGGCTCTCCCGGCCTGGCTGCTGTGCGCGTGCCGCACACACACTACCCTCCCCGGCCGGGCCGAAGCCGAGAAGCTCTCACCTGCGAGGCACCGGAGCCTCGGCCACAAAAAGGGAGGGACACGCCACTCGGGGGGTCCCAGACACACGAAATCCGCCCCCAGAGTCCCGGGCCCTGGGCGCGGAGCCCCCCCCCCACACACACACACACACACACATACCCCGGAACCTTCGCCGCCTCCGACAGCGACGCGGGTCAACCCCACACCCGACACACACCCACTCGCTCTGGGTCCTCAGGCAGCCTCCCCGCCCGCCAGAGTCCCAACTCGCTCACCCACACTCACATTTGTCCCTCTCCCACCTCATTTCCCCGGGGACGCGCTCCTCTTCCCACCATTCTCGATCTACTAGGAGGCACAAAAACACTTTACCTCATTCTCTTCCTCTGGCCCAGGAGGGGCAACAGCAGCCATTTCCCCGCGGCACGGGAAACACACACACACAAACACGCGCGCGCGCGCACCAGGCCCCCACAGATGCTTCCCCTCCGAAGCCGCAGACGCAAACACAAACACCCACGGGCGGGCCTCGCTCCCGCCCGCCCCGAAGGGAAGCCGCCGCGACAGGCAGGGCCCGCACCCCGCTCGCGGGCGGACGGACGCACAAGGCGCCCGGGCCTGGGGTCGCGGAGGGCCTGCGCCCCCTCCTCACCTGCATTCAGCGCGCCGGGGTCCGGGCGGCGACGGCGGCGGCGGCGGCGGGGCGGCTGGTGCTGGTGCTGCGGCGGCGGGGGAGGCGGCGGCGGCGGTGGCGGCGGGGCTGAGGGCAGCAAAGACATGCAGGCAGCCCGCCGGGGGGAGAGGCACCGGCCGGAGGGGACGCGGGGCGGGCGGGCCGGGCCGGGCCGCCTGAGGAACAGCAGAGGCGGCGGCAAAGAGGACGGCTGACGGGAGCGAGGAGACGGACTGGGGGCGGGGAGGGGGACGAGGGCCGCGCCGCCGGGTTTCAGGGACAGTGACCCTGGGCGCTCAGGAGAGGCCCCGCGGCCGCCGACGCGAAAGCCCCCTGCCGGAGGAAGCGGCGCCCCCGCAGCCTCCGAAGCCGCGGCTATTACTCCGAGAGCGGCGCAGAACCTGGCCTTGGCCTTGGCCTCCTGGCGCTGGGGCTGCCGCCGCTGCGGGGGTTGCTGCTGCGCCTGCTGCTGCTGCCGGGCCCAAGGCTGCCGCACAGAGACGCCAGCTTTCGGTACCTTCGCTCTCGCTCACACACGTTCACACCCCCGAGGGCCGGGGGAGAGGCGTCCGCGCGATATCGGTACTAAGATTAATAACAAGGTGCAGAGAGTGCGAGAAGGAGGAGGGTTGATTGACGTGGAGGGGCTGGCGAGAGTCAGTCACTCCCCTGCGCGGGGGGGTGGGGGTGGGGGTGGGGGAAGGAGGCGGAGCTCCAGCGCCGCGACTCGGCCCCGCCCCCTGGCCAGCGCGTTTGGTCTTGGCGCGCCTGCGCGCGTGACTGCCAGGAGTCTTACCCATTTTCTCCTTTACCCTTACCGCTTTTTTACTCTCTTTTCTTGGCTTGAGTGACGAGCGGAGCTGGGAAGACAGGTAGGGTATCAAACATCCACGTCCACAAAGCCATGGTGGGGAAGAGACTGGCGAACCCTCCTCACCCTGTGTTCGTGCCTGGACTCGGCGCTGTTACTGCATGCTCGCCAGAGGCTGCGTGACTGCGAAGCTGAGCGCTGGTCTGGGTAGCTAATGAGACGCCAGGTGAGGTGAAGTGACGGAAGGAAAGGTTTCCTGACATCTTCGATGGGTTTTTTTGGTTTTTTTTTTTTTACATAAAACATCTGTAAGTTGTGTCGCGAAAGGTAAATAAAAGAACCTGTGACGCTCTGCGTTAATCCCCTTCCTATTTATTTGCTAATTCTCCCTTCTCGCGATAGAATTACGTTTGTTTGGCAGTGCCCCCCCCATGAAAACATCAAAATGTAAACGAGAAAGATTAATGTTTACTTGGTGAATGTGGCCTTGACATTTTAAGTTTCGGGGGTTTAATTATGTTTTTGTGGATCAGCTTCTGCTTTTTACCACCGGTAGTCCAAAAATTATACCAGCTCTAGAGGCAGAATACTGCTATTGCTTGCAGTTTTGCACAATTTCTCGATGCATGCTCCGGGTTTGCGTACTTAAACAAGCAGCATAAGGGTATATTAGAAGCGTAGAGTATTTTTTCCCCCCACAGGGGTGTTGTTTAGCATACTAAGCATGTTGTGTTGGTTGGAATTAATTAGGCCTTTATTATTGAATGTTAAAGGCCTTCATTACGGGGCGGGGGAGGTGTGGTACATACAAATCATCATTTAGCCAGAACTGGTCAGATATTAAGAGTCCACCATTGCAAAAGAACAATTGCACCACTTTCATTTTTGTCACCAGAAAGTGAGTGAGTGAGTGAGTGAAGAAACCCCTTAAGATATAGAAGACTGTGGGCTACTTTGTTTTCCAACCGTGTTTTCTATTTCCCTCTCGCACCCCCATTCCAGCCTCTGTAATAGTTGTCAAAATGGCCTTAATCATGGAGGAAGCCTCACTCATTCCCAACTATCTTCACTCTAGGCTGACATATATGAATAGTGATCTCTAACTTTGTAAGTATTAAAGAAACAAGGCACTTCAGGAGCCCAGAATAGTAAACCTGCCTGAATGGCCTTTTGCCACAGCATTTCTATTTGGCACACACTCTTCCCCCAAGGAGAAATACTACCAACTGCTGAAGAAAAGAGGAAAATAAACGTCTGAAAATGTAAATGTGATGATGGCATATCCTCAAAAGATTTAAGCTTCTTCAAATACCTATAGATATATAAATTCCTAGCTATTTGTTTATATATAATAAACAAGGATCTATGGAGGGGATATTATGTTCCAGACACTGTATTTAGCCTCAGAAACACAAAGAGCATATATAGTCCCTATTCTTATGTAGCTCGCAATGGTTGTAGGGGAAACAGACTCTAAACAGGAAATTCTCACAGAACAACCAGAAATGAAATTATGAAAGGTAACACAAAATTAATAGTCACAACAATACCCAGGAGGATAAGGCTGATGGCACTGGCATTTTTACTGGAACCATATGTTATCTCTCTCTGCTATCACTCTCACAGGCTGACTAGCAAGTAGCGACTGGGGTGAGGAAAGAGGGGATAGACTTTGCGGATGTTAAGGAAGCATTAATAAATGGTGTGGTTTGCTAGTCTTGAAGCTCAGGTTTATATGGGGAATGTTCATTGTTGGTCTCTGAATTTTATATAGAAAATGATCACAATCCATTGAATAATTGTAATTGTGACATTCGGAGTTAAGAATAGTAGGTGGGTTTTTTTTAATTAAAAAAAACCAATCGAATGCAGATTAAGTTTAAATAACCTCTACTCTCAGGAATGTTCTCTCTATACCATAGCAAATGTATTGACTCACCGAAAACAAAAGGAAAGTAAAACTTTTATATATTAATAAAAATAACTATATCATCCCCAAAACAGATTGTTTTTCTCATTTGCTATGAGATTGAGATCAGAGAAATAATTTTCAAATAGTTGGCATTGTATAGATGCTGAGAAATTAAATCATCATTGATACTAAAAAACTCTTAAGATTCCAATTAAAAATACATTGCAATAACAACAAAACATTAGCACTTAAGCCATTTTTAAAAAGCAGTTTTATAGTAGATCAAAGTTTGCAACAGAATGGTAACCTGTTTTGATGTCTCATTTCATGGGAATTTTTCATGTTTGTCAGACATTGCAATTTTTTATTAAGATTAAAAATAAGAACACATTAGAAAAGTCTCTCTTTTTAAAAAAGTGATTTATCCCACTGAAAGCTTCTGGCTTAAGTAAGGCCTTTTTGACCAAGTTGGTAATAGCAGCACTGTGTAGGTACAATTTGTTCTGAAACAACACTTATGTTTATTTGCATATTTGTTACAGAATTGTTCATTCCTTCCCAATTAAAAAAAAAGTACTTGAGGGATGCCTGGGTGGCTCAGTTGGTTGGGCATCTGCCTTCGGCTCAGGTCATGGTCCCAGCATCCTGGGATCGAGTCCCTCATCCACCTCGCTGCTCAGTGGGGAGCCTGCCTCTCCCTCTGCCTCCCACTCTCCCTGCTTGTGCTCTTTCTCTGACAAATAAATAAATAAAATCATTTAAAAAAAAAGTACTTGATGTTCTAGTGACCACCTGTGTCTTTTCCAAATTAGCAATTAATATTTGATCTGAGTATATCTGATCTCTCCATGTTTTTTCTGTCAGTAGCATAGGTAACTGGACCTATAAGATCCCTGAGAACTATGTTCTTTTATGTTTTCTGAAATTCTGTCGAATAGTTTGCTCAAAAGGCAAAGGTTTAAAGTTTTTTATTTAAGAACATCGTTACTATTTGATAAAGAACTAAATTTGACTTTACTGATTTCAATACACTTAGTAGCTACATAATTTTTCAAGAAAAGTATCACATTTATTTAGTAAGATGTAATTGGTAAAATAATTAAATGTAATTTTACCTGATACTCATTAGTACAACTTTTAAACAGGTATTAATCAAGATGATCTTGAATTTTTACTTCCCAGACCTCCTGACAGGGCATCCAAACTATATTCCAGTGACATATTCTGCCCTTTACTGAACCACATTCCTCTCCATCTTCCCATCTTAACTCATCTTATTCCTCTTCTGTCTCCCTGTATCCTCATTACTTTGTTTCTAATATTTTTTGAGCTACCATCTACCATGGCTATATCCATCCAAGAAAGGTGTCTTTACTCACTGCCTCTGCCCCTCTCCAGGTCCACCAACTCTCTCTGTCCATCAACCTCCCCTTTATTCCTTTCTCTAGAATGACAATGGATGACACCAAGGACCATCCCACCACCTTGGCCAAAGATGAACATTTTCCACCATTAATAGTGTGCCATATGATATGTTAGTCCTAGATAAAATGGCAAAGCAGGCAAAGTTCATCTTGGTGCCCTCTTGCCTTCTTTCTTTCTATACTTCCCATCTCAAGTTCCTTGACCCCTGAATATTCAGAATCTCCACCCCAGCCCCATCAACATCAGTACCACTCTTTCTAGTACTTACCTTATTCCAGAAATTTTCTAATTAAGCACTACCACCATCAATAAATATCTAGTACTTCAGTTTATCAAGGACTTGCAGGCACCTGGCATGCTATCCAATCAATACAATTGATTATTTTAATGCTGTATTCCAAGGATCCTCATGGGGTTTTCAAAGGTATACTCCAGAAACCACCTAGGGTACAGAGGGGACCAGATAGGTGGGACTTCAACTAGAAAGTTTCTGTTTTACATATTGACCATCTATTTGTCTCCCTGGTAACTTTCCTTTTCCTACAGACAATATTCCTTTCTTTTGGAGAAACTATGTGACTTTAGTGGCAGCTGCAGCTCAGTCCCCCAACTTCTTGGC